AGATGCATGCATCTGAAGAAGTGGGTTTTTACCCAGTTACTGGAAAGCAAATTCTGCCACTGCCAATGTCTTAATTTAATAACATCCTAATTGATGGTGTCATTGACTGTAAAATGTGGAGAACTTAAATGTGCAGCAGTTTGCAAAAAACAAACAGACAAAGAAAGCCCCAATTAATAGAATCTTGATGAAACCTGCAAACCTCACCAAGGGTCATATCTCTTGTAGCCGATTGTGCTAAATTATGGAAAACTAAATCCTTTGTTCAGTTAATCCTTTCTTTACTCTCATAATTGTTTTAAAAACTGACACACCACTTTTTATTGTTGCATGTTGGATTGTTAGTTTCTATCAGAGATAGTTGAAAGTAATATTTTGTTACAAACTTAGCTCCTTTTTCTATTCATGAATTCTTAACAAACGGATCCTGATTTCTTTGAATGCATTTGTTATTCATAAGTATTCACTGACAGCTTGAAAAAAAATAACCTTTAGACTATAGCTTCATAGATTGTTCTATCTGCTCTTCATTTATGTTGCATGGTTGGTCAGTTACATCAGATGGCATTGTTTCTGTTCCCTAACTGAATGATTGGAACTTTTAAAATAAGGAAATAACAGATAGCGAATAACAGACATCCATCATGAACTTTCAGATCAATAATCATTCATATTAAAATATGTAAAAGTTTCAGGAATTTTAATGAAGTCAGTGGTTGTCTGAATACTTGTTATGATGAAAAATAAGACTCCTACACAAAGAGTGAATAGAATAAGAGCTTGGATTTGCTAATCAGATAGTTCGGTATTCCAGTAACTCTCTGTGCTATGTGAACTGGATCCAAAACCCATTGAAATGCATAGGAGTCTTGATTAATGCCTTAATTGCCAACCTCCTCTGTGACAGAGTATGGCACTATCCTTTTAAGTGTGGAAATGCCAATGGACATTGGAACTGTGAAGGTGCAATATTTATTACTAATGTAGCTGTTACAGACTCTCACTGGTAAAACCTTTTTGCTACATTGCATTTTATATTCTCTGGGTTCTGTGGGTCGAGATGCTGTCTCAGAGTTAATGCAGCAGAGAAAGGGACTGAGTCCTCACCTCAAAATAAAGATAACACACAGGATACTTGTGCACTGAGGATTTTTCTGACTGTTACTGTTTGTGAGGGAAGTAGCATCATACCCACAGCTTCATTCCTACATTCATGTTGGGCCATGTGGATTTATCACTAGCCATACTTCAGACATGTATGTATTTTCCCTTGTTCATTGCCTTGAGAGTCCTGGTGCAAAGATTATATACATGGCACATATGGAAGTGTAGCGTGTCTCTCTGAAGGTTCTGCAGTGCTTTGGCTACCAGCATAGTAGCAATGCTGTTTCTACTATTTTGTCCTTGTTGAATACGATGAAGAACTGATGTTTCTGGTGTATTGCTGATACTATCATAACATTTTGGAGAAGCAGTCTTAGCTATTTCTATGTCATATATTGGAATACAGACATCACTGTTGTACGCAAACTAATTTTTTAGCAAGGGATGTATTAGAATGAATGCAAAGGCCATCACAATAGCAGATAGTTGAGATTAAATACAGATATTTTTGGATTCTGACATGTT